TAAATAAAAAATACATTCTATATTAAAAATATAAGTTGTATCTTGGAAAAACCGATGCATCTCGCAAAAACCGATGCATCTCGATTTGCTTCCAAAATTTCATTCATCCTCTGCTGCTCTACCGATGCACTCGCATCGTGCACGCGCATGACCGCGTATCGATACATATCGGTTAATCTTCCCATCCCTAATTCATACGCATGCGAATGTGGCCGACTGGAAACACAAGCTCGTGCGACAAGTTCACTCTGCATAGCAAAGTTCAAGCTTTGTGAACTCGGACCTGCGGAATCGTTTGATGGGAGAAATGTACATTTTGGAGCAATTACGTGCTTGTTTTGCTCGCTCCTTGTTGCAGCTGTATACAACCAAATTTTGCACGTTCAAACTCTAGTGTGGCCGCATCATCAGTCTGTGTTAGTCGTTTTGGCTGGTTGTCAGGTCTGGATGAACGACCTAAAGCAGGGATGTCAATCTCAATTCCTGGAGGGCTGCAGCCCTGCACAGTTTAGTTCCAACCCTGCTCCAACACACCTGTAGGTTTCAAACAAGCCTGAAGGACTTAATTAGTTTGATCAGGTGTGTTTAATTAGGGTTGGAACTAAACTGTACAGGGCTGCGGCCCACCAGGAATTGAGTTTGACATCCCTGACCTAAAGTATATGCAAATGATGAGGGTTGTGGCACGTAAGTCACGCGACAGTCTGCTTTGTGTTCTGATTGGCTTTTTGTCCACCGGGGTTTTAAGCCACGGTCACACTGCACTTTTCACCCCATAGACTTCCATTCATACCCATGCAAATGCAGCAGACCAGAAACACAAGCTCTTATGGCAAGTTTCACATGTCGCAGCATTGCAAAGTTCAAGCTTGGTAAACTTGAGAAGTCGCATCACTTGAATGTGTGCGACAAATCGAAGATCAAAACATGATCTCTCTAGACACAAATGTTAAACATGAACAATCACTTGGTTTTTTAATGTTTAATCATCTTGTTTAATCCCGCCCCTTTTCTGTAGCACTATAAGACAGAATTTTGCACGTTTAAACTTTAGTGTTCTCCTGATGACGCGGCTGGACGTCAGGTCTGGATGAACAACCTAAAGTATATGCAAATGATGAGGGTGTGGCACCTAAGTCACGCAACAGTCTGCTTTGTGTTCTGATTGGCTTTTTGTCCACAGGAGTTTTAAGCCGTGGGTCACGCTGCACTTTTCACCCCATAGACTTACATTCATATGCATGCGAATACGGCAAACTAGAAACGCAAACTCTTGCGACATGTTTTGCATCGCTTGATTGTGTGACACCAATCGCAGACCGAAACATGACCTCTTTGTACAAAAATTTTAAATACGGACCAATCACTCACTTTTTTAATTGTCTAATCATTTTGTTTAATCCCGCCCTGTTTCACAGCACCGTACAACAGATATTTGCCTTCTCAAATTCTAGTGTACCCGCGGCATCAGTCTGTGGTCTCCTAATGACATGGCTGGTCATTAGGTCTGGATGAACGACCTAAAGTACATGTAAATGATGAGGGCGTGACCTGCGAGTCACGCAACAGTCTGCTTTGTGTTCTGATTGGCTTTTTGTCCACCAGAGTTTTAAGCTGCGATCACACTGCACTTTTCACCCCATAGACTTCCATTCACACGCATGCAAATGCAGCGGACCATAAACGCAAGCTCTTGCGACAAGTTTCGCTTGTTGCTGCGTTGCAAAGTTCAAGATTGGTGAACCTGCGAAGTGGCATCACTCGATTGCCTAAAACCAATTGAAGATCAAAACATGACCTCTCTGGACAGAAATGTACAATATGGACCAATCGCTCACTTTTTTTAATGTTCAATCATCTTGTTTAATCCCGCCCCTTTTCATAGCACAAGGCAGAATTTTGCACACTCACCTGATTAATAAAGGGACTAATCTGAAAAGAAAATTAATGAACGAACTTTTATTTCAAAGAATCTTTTATTTTGCTAAATGACCGTATTTTCTTATTTACATCTCGGTCACTTGAGCTCCCAAATTTAACCCACAATCAGCAAAATAAATAAGAAACAGACGTCTTTGGAAATTTCTTTGCTAAGGGGAAAAGACCCAGTGAAGAACGCGCATTTTTTTGCTTATTCTCATTGCTTTGTTTGCTGAACTTCATTTTTCTTCTCTCTTATTGTTTCTTTTTTTTTCTTCTACTCCTCCCCTTCCTTTTCTGTTTTTATTTTTTATTTTATTTTATTTATTTATTTTTATTATTAGTATTTTATTAATTTTTGTTTATTATCATTAGTTTATTTTCTCTTTTCCTCTATCTCCCCTTCTACTTACTACTATTATTATTTGTTATTATTATTATTATTATTATTATTATTATTATTATTATTTATTATTATTATTACTTGTCCTCTCCCTGATTTCCCATCCTCCCCTCTCCTCGACACCTTTGTCATAAATGGTATTACTTTTATTTTTTGTAATCATTATTATTATTATTACTGTTCTGACTTGTCCTGTTATCTTTCCATTATCATTATTACAAGTATTTATACCATTATTATTAAGGTTGCAGTTGTTGTAGTTGTAGCGGTAGTAGTTGTAGTAGTAGTAGTAGTAGTAGTTGTAGTTGAAGTAGTAGACAGTGTAATAGTATCGATTGTTATTGAGTAATTGTTACGGAGATTTTTGAAGTAGTAGTTCATGTAAGTAGTAGCAGAAGTAGTAATGGTCTGGTAGTTACAGTAGTAGTAGTAGTCGTTGTTGGTGTAGTAATATCAGTAGTAGATGTTGTTGATGTAGATGTAGTAGAAGTGATTGTGGTGGTGGTAGTAGCAGTAGTAGTAGTAGCAGTAGACGTTGTTGTATTAGTTGTAGCAAACGCTATAGTAGTATCAGTAGTGGTAGTCGTTGTAGTAGTATCAGTATTAGTAGACATTGTAGTAGTAGTAGTAGTCGTGGTTGTGGCTGTAGTAGAAGCAGTAGTAGTTGTAATATAAGTAACTTTTTGTAGTAGTAGTTGGTGTAGCACTTGTGATTTATTATTATTGTTGTCAGTTATTACTGTTGTCCTTTCTTTCTTTTTACTCTCATTTTTACTATCATACATTAATAAGCATTGTTGTTACTCCCTACCTCTGACTGGTTTCTTTCTATATGTTTTATCTATATCTGTGACACTTGCTTCATTTATTGACTGTTATTGTTCCTTATGTATCTACTCTGACCTGTCCACCAAGTTACCTTTACATGCATACACACACTCACACGCACACACTCACGCACATACCAGTACATGACTATATTGTTGTTGTTTTTGTTTTGTTTTTGTTTCGTTGCTTTGTATTTGTTATTTGTTGACGTTTTCTTGTATTTATATGATTTTTGCATATTCTAATAATAAAAAAATAAATAAAAAAATAAAAAATAAATAAAAAAAAGAACGCGCAAACTGCCAAGTAATAGATCCGCAACCCATTTGTCAACAAATCAGGTGAGTCCAGCATGTCTGTGCAAGAAGATCAACTGCTGGAGATCGCAAATGACGGCGGCCTTTATAGGGGCCGTTCGCATATCGCATCTTTTCTTGAGTTCACACAAGTTAGTTATTTCCAATGGAGGTGCATGGCATGCACGTGCTAGTGTACTTCTGATGACGAGGCTGGTCATCAGGTCTGGATGAACAACCTAAAGTGCATGCAAATTATGAAGGTGTGGCCCGTGTGTAACGAGGAGCCTGACACGGAGGGATCCATTTGCAGTATATATATTAGACACATATCAAACACAATCATACAATACGCACTTACGTGCAAACTCACATCAACAGTATTCAGTATGGGTCTAAGGGCTGGCGGCGGGCAGTCACAGAGTGATAGAATGGGCAGGGATCAGTGGCAGGCGGCGTGGTTCAGAGTCCAGATATCAGGCGTGGGTCAAGGGCAGGCGGCGTGGTTCAGAGTCGAAGTGCAAGCAAGGTTCGGGGCAGGCAGAAGGCAACTCAGAGTCAGAAACAGTCCAGGATAATACACGGGAGATCAGGCAAGGGAATAATGCTCAGAGATGTTAGCCGTGGCAGAACAAGACTTCGCACTGGACTGATGTGTGTGTGTGTGTGGCTTATAGCTGTGAGCGTGGGTCGTTAACGGGATGAGTCTCAGGTGTGTGCGCTTATCAGTTTAAGTGGATGATGTAATGCTAAAAGTCCGGTGATGGTGGCCTCTGCTGGCCAGCGAGGGCAATGACTGGGACAGAGTCGGTGACAGCGCGAGTCATGCAACCGTCTGCTTTGTGTTCTGTCAGTGATTTTACACTGGTGGATTTTAAATGAGGAGGAAACAATCATGTCTGAAGCTCATGTTATGGACATTTCCATATTTTAATCTCTTATTATTATTCGATTATGCCTAGGCATATCTGGAATTTCCTTTATAGGGCATCTTTAAAATATTTTTTAACAAGTGATGTATGATTTTTGCACACATTTATTTATTTCAGAGTGCATCATGCTGTGTGTGTGCGAGAATGAGAGAGAAAACAATTCAGTTTATTCAATTCCCTTATAGCGTATGTGTTTGGACTGTGGGGGAAACCGGAGGACCCGAAGGAAACCCACACCAACATGAGGAGAACATGCAAAACTCCACACAGAAATGCCAACTGACCCAGCCGGGACTCGAATTAGCAACCTTCTTGCTGTAAGACAACCACTGTGCCACTTTGCCGCCTTCTAGGGGTATATTAGGGGTAATAAATGAACATATTTTTCTGAAATAACAATGGAACTTATTAAAGCCACATGTACAACAATGTGCATGTCAGAGAAGAATTTATCTTGTTGAATAATTGCAGTATATGGCACCTTTAATTTATGGACTTAAACTGCTGTATGTTTATTTCTGTAGTTGATTGCCCTGCAGTGGCTGTGTGTATTATAGGACTGCCACAATAACATCCCCTTTAAAACCAGGAAATGCAAGAGTGAAAAAAGAGGAACAGTCTTGAGTGTCTCTCTCTATCTGTGTGTGTGAGCAGTAAAATGGCAGAATCCAGCTTTTCTGTGGCACAGGAAGAGTTCAGCTGTGCGGTGTGTCTGGATCTACTAAAGGATCCAGTCTCCATTCCGTGTGGACACAGTTACTGTATGAGCTGCATCACAGACTGCTGGAATCAGGAGGATCAGAAGAGAGTCTACAGCTGCCCTCAGTGCAGACAGACCTTCAGCCCCAGACCCGCTTTAGCTAAAAACACCATGCTGGCTGAAGTGCTGGAGAAACTGCAGAAGAGCAAACTACAAGCTGCTGGTCCTGCTCAGAGTCCCGCTGCATCTGGAGATGTGGAGTGTGACGTCTGTACTGGAGCCAAAAACAGAGCCGTCAAGTCCTGTCTGGTGTGTCTGAACTCTTACTGTCACACTCATTTTCAGCTCCATCAAGAACTGAATCCTGGAAATCAACACAAAGTGACTGAAGCCACTCATAAACTGCAGGAGATGATCTGTCAACAACACAAGAAACTCCTGGAGATCTTCTGCCGCACTGATCACTGCTGTATATGTTATCTGTGTTTGCTGGATCAACACAAACACCATGACACTGTTTCAGCTGCAGCAGAGAGGACTGAACTACAGGTATGAACACACTTATTTCTAATAATTTATAATGTCTCTATATTATTTCTCCATTTTTGCAACCTGTTCTTTCTGATCTTCCCTCCAGCAGACATGTGTAATAGACTTTGGTCAGGGTGTTGTCATATTTAATGTTTTACAGTAAAGAAAACACTTAAATGAGGGACTAAAGTACAGTGTGTTCAGTGCACGGCATTTAGCATTTGGTTTTGTTTTCTTAGCAATTATAAAGATTTATTATTCCTTCCTTCGCCACTTTCAAAATAAGAGTCACACATGCAAAGTACGTTTAATAAAAGTGTAAATAAACTAAAACAAAATGAAGGAAAAAGATAACTGGCACAATGGTGCAGTGGGTATATCACGATCACCTTACAAGAAGAAGGTCACTGGTTTGAGTCTTGGTGTGGAGTTTGCATGTTCTCCCTATGTTGGCATGAGTTTCCTCCACAGTCCAAACACATGCGCTATAGGGGAACTGATTAACTAAATTGGCTGTAGTGTATGAGTGTGTGTTGAATAAGTGTGTACGCGTGTTTCCAACGCAATCTCACGGCAATTCGTAACTTTTTGATTTAGTGGCTAATTCGTATGATCAAATTCGTACAATTTAGTATGATTTGCTCATCACCCAATGAAAGTTGGGGTTTGGTGCCACGCCTCCTTTTTAAAATCGTACGTTTTTGTACAACTAAACTCGTACGAATGTGCCACTAAACTGACAAAACCTAAAATACTTACGTTTCCTCAAGAGATCAGGCTGGTGTTTCCCATGGAAGAGCATCTGCTGCGTAAAACATATGCTGGATAAGTTGGCGGTTCATTCTGCTGTGGCGACCCCTGATGAATAAAGGGACTAAGCCAAAGGAAAATGAAGGAAAAATATTATAATAATTTTAATAATTAAAAATGTTATCATTTCAATAATAATAATTTTTGTATATTTTTCATGTCTTTCAATGTGTACAATCTTTATTTTAATTCTATTTATTTTTGTTTTAAACTGAGAAATATTTAATTGAAAACAAGCAAAAGTAAAATGTAATATTTTATGCATTTGTTTAAGGAAATACCTCTCATTGTCATTTAGTTAGACTTAAAGTAGAAATAAAACTGAAAGAAAACGTACATAAAAACTACAAATATGTGTTAAAAATACAAAAAAAAAAAAACTAATAAAATAATAAAATGAAAAAACATTACTTGAACTGGGCCTCACTGTGGCGCAGTGGGTAGCACGAACGCCTCACAGCAATAAGGTTGCTAGTTCGAGTCTTTGTTGGGTCAGTTGTGTTGGATAAACAGCTGACCCACCGCTGCATAAAAATTTACTGGATAAGTTGGCGGTTCATTCCGCTGTGGCAACCCCGGATTAATAAAGGGACTAAACCAACAAGAAAATGAATGAATTAATGAATGTAGTTATTTTGAATTCCTGGTAGAAAAGAAGTGGATTGTCGATAGCTGTATATTATGTGTAAGTAAAACTCTTGACAACTGCAAGAAACACGAAAAAACAAAAAACAAAAGTGGATGCGACAGACTACACTGTCAACTGACATCAGTTGAGTTCACGTTCTGCAGGTAAAAAATTTTATTTGACTACACTAAAAAAAATGTTTTTTGCTTTTGTTTTTAAGTTGCGGAAGTGCAGCCACTGTCGACTGTAGAAGTGACGATGTTTTGTAATATAGTAAGATTTTTTCTCTTGGGAAACGATTTACACATTTGTGAAAACCACGTGAAGCAATTTATTCAATGTATAAAGCTGAAAGATGTATTTTGATTAAGGGATGTTTTTATCGTCTAACGGTTCATTTTGTTATTAAACATTTTAAAGGTTTAAAATCTGTTTATGCCTTAAAAATAAATTATTTCATGTTAGTGCTCTTATGGCTCGTTTCCACTGACTGGTACAGTACAGTACGGTTCGGGTCGGTACTAGTCACTTTTATCAGGCTTGTTTTTCTATTACCAAGGGGACCCTTTTGGTGGGTGTAGTGTACAGAAACAAAAGTGTACAAGAATTTTCAGACAACATCATTTTCACTCAAGAAAATGTCTACAGTAAAGCTGTACGGCTCGCTTACATATCATATGAGAAGCACTTCTCACAAAACAGATGCTTTACACACACTTAGGTGTGTAAACACTTTACAATACTTATGTATAAATGTTCATTACTAACTTTTCTATGAACTTCAATTATAACTGCAGATTAATGACAGTGCGAAATAACCTACTGTAACGTCTGTAATTATATAAAATAAATAAATAAATGCAACATATATGCACACATACAGCCCCTTACAGTCTCTGATATGTTACCAATTACAGAAGAACTACACACAGCAGACATTTAGTCCTTATTTAGGTTCAAGAACAACTCAAAATATAGCCCACAGCCAGAGCAAACCTCTAATCTGTGTCTGTAATCTTCAGCAGCACATGTAAGCTCCGTTAGAGAGTCATTCTGTCATTCAGAGTTCATAATAGTCCAAAAGGTGAAGATAATAGTTAAACATGATAGTTTGTTCACGTTTGCTGCATAAATAATGTGCTCCTTTTTTCCTGCTTCTCCTTTGTTTTTTCGTGCTTCACTCTCGCGTTTGTCAGTGTCTGACAAGATGGGGTTTCAAAAGCGCGTCAATAATCAAGCGCATGTTATTATCATCAGCTCAAAAAGTTTGTTATTTCAGATATAGACGTGCGGTGAGTGCAAGCAAGAAAGCGAAACCGCCCGCGCTTCAGACTGGCTCGTAAAAAACTACTGGGCACAGGGTAAATCTGCTCTTCTTTTTGGCTTTGTGGCTGTTCATCAAGACGACGACAAGGTTTGTTTGAGCCCGGGTCGACCATGGCTCATTATTATATGTATATATATTTATGGTTTAAAACATTTCTCTGCTGTGTATTTTAAACATGGAGGTTCTTTTGTTTTCATTCTGGCTTGTTGCGTAAGCGAATGACGTATCTCTGTAAACCAATAGCGTTCAGCTGCGCGTCTAGCTCCACCTTTTGGTTCCCTTTCTTGTGTTTGGTACCCTTTTGAAAGGGTGCCGAAAAAGTGGTACGGTACGGTTCGGTACGCCTTTTGACAGTGGAAACGCCCATAAAAGCGTACCAAACCAAACCGTACCACTCAATGTAAACGGGCCATTAGGCTTTATTGCAATCTTTATCCTAATGCACAGTAAATGTACTTAACTGATAACACAGAACATTCAAAAGTAGCAAATACATGCTGTCATTAATCTGTATATACAACCTGTAGAACTCTGGGCTCAGTAAGTTGTCAATTTTATCCTACATTTTTTTAGAGATAAATGAAGGTGTAGGTTACTGTCCAGTTTTTATCAGGTTACTCACTGTACCTCAATAAACTCCCCACTGGAAGGGTTTCAGGGCAAGTACGATGGATACAACTCGAGCCACTGCTGAACTTTTATTGCGTACACATACACAATGTTCGTCCACAAACTAGACAGCCGTACTGACGTTACACTTGTCTGTCAAACTTTGACGTCCTTCCTCGTTTAATTAACAGTTGCTAGTAGCTTGTAGCTAGATTCTAAACCGGCAAGTGTACCGGCCCCAAAAAATAACTAACTAAACATGCATCTTAATTTATACACAGACACAACCTATCAGCTAGCAACGGTAATACACATCTCCTGATCTATCAGAACTATGACATATATGAAAATACACAGGCACACACTTGCATACACATACAAACACACACACACAGACACACAAACACACACACACGCACATGTATGCATGCATGCGCATACACACAACCACAGACACAATCGCATATGCGCACACACACATGCATGAGCTTACACACACAGGCACACACACTTGCATACAAATGCACAAACATGTACAAACACACACACACACACACACACAAGTGCACAAACGCAAGTGCATGCATTTTCTGAAATTTGGAGCATAATTCAGGTCTGAAGGGGTTAAAAATCTCAGACTTAGGCCAGCAATTAAACATTTAATTTAAACATTAAATTTAAAAGTCCTACTATTTAACATTTAATTTATGTGTTGACTAAAAATTGAACAAAGCGCTTTTCTTAATCATAAAAATGTTCATCTTAGCAAACATCCAATTGTTTCTCAGAAATAAAGGTACAGTAAGGGTTTCAAAGGGTACATACATGGCAAATATACATATCTATATTTGTTCCTCAATTACTCTAAAGCATAATAACATCCATCTTTAATAATAAACATATGCAAACTATAGTGACACATACCGGAAAGTCCTACAGTTATAAAGGTGGTTGTTAAATGCAGAATTTCTCTATAAAAAAGGTGATTAAACACCTGCAAGTTCTGAAAAAGATCAAACCTCAGCCAGGTAAGTAAGGCAATTAGTTACTTTTTTGTGGGGAACAACTCAATATTGTAATGCATTACTTTCAAATGTAACTTTACTGGACATATTCATGCACTGAACTCATATTATTCATGCCTAGGCATATCCAGATTTACATTATATGGCACCTTTGATTTGATCAAATGTGCAGCACTCATGCACTATATTGCACCTGACATCTTTTCTAATTTGGTAAAAATTTGGTTTTCATTCATAATTACAACTTTGCAGTTATAATTATTTAACTTTTGTCAACTGTGATTCCTGCAGAGTCGGCTGAGGGAAACCCAGAGCAGCTTCCAGCAGAAGATCCAGGAGAGGCAAAAGGAGCTGGAGGAGCTGAGAGAGGCTGTGGAGTCTCACAAGGTGAGTTTGAGCAGGAGAACAGCAGCTGAAGAGGCCTTTCACACTCCAATGCTTCTGTGTGTGTGTGTGTGTGTGTGTGTGTGTGTGTGTGCGTGTGTGTGTGTGTGTGTGTGTGTGTGTGTGTGTGTGTGTGTGTGTGTGTGTCTGACAGCACTCTGCACAGGCCGCAGTGGATCACACCGAGAGGATCTTCACTCAGCTCATCTGCTGGATTGAGAGAAGCCGCTCGGAGCTCACGCAGATGATCAGAGATGGAGAAAAGACTGCAGTGAGTGGAGCTGAAGAACGACTGGAGCGACTGGAGCAAGAGATCAATGATCTGAGGAGGAGAAACGCTGAGCTGGAGCAGCTTTCACACACAGAAGATCACATCCATTTCCTCCAGGTGACACACAGGACAGTGGAAGAGCATGTGGAGCAGAGATTGTGTTTGTGTGTCTTCAGCTGCTGTTTCTGTTGTGTCTGTGTAGAGTTTGCAGTCTCTCTCTGTCCCTCCTGGATCTACAGACTCATCCAGCTTTATTATCAACTCTCAACCTGCTTTTGATCAAGTTGATGAATCTGTGTCTCGTCTAAGAGACAAGCTGCAGCAGTTCTGCACAGAGGAGATGAAGACCATATCTAGTACAGGTAAGCTTTACATTTCCTCACATGTATCATATTGTCACAACTAGCTGTACGTGACTATGATCAGAGCTAAAACAACCTGTATGACTACCCTGAGTAGCTAGCGGGGTGCTATTAACTATAGGACACAACTTTCTTCGATTTAGAAAGCCAGCAGAACACTCATGTCCCATACACCACACGACCAAGACTGTCAAGAGAACTGAAAGAATAATCAGGAGGCAGAACTATCTGTTAGCCTTTTAATTCTGAGCGAAAACTGAACGGCCCTAAACAGGTCCAAACCACTGGAGTGCTTCCATTACACACGTTACATTTATTTATTTAGTCAATTCAATTTTTATTCGAGTTTTACGGAAGAAATAACAAAACGGGATGGTTGCGGGAGACTGAAAAACGGGAGACTCCCGGGAACAACGGGAGTGTTGGCAGGTATGCTCTAAACTATTGCCCATAATGCATCTGGCTAATGTGCTGTGGGCCAGGTCATTACATCCCAATGGGGGCCAGCTGGTGATACGGTTTCAATCAGTCCTTATGCATCACCACCCGCCTACCTCGTTCAGGAATTCGGATCTGGAAGACCACCACCAGATTTGGTTCAAGATCTTCCCGGACTCTTGGCAATGAAGAGACAGTTTGGGTGACAACTCTGGGGGCAAAAAATCCACACTTTATCTCCAGGCGCAAAGGTAGGCCCTTGAGCCTGGATGTCATACATCCACTTATGACAAGCTCCAGCATCCTCCAGAACCTCCCTGGCCAATTTATGGACCATGTCCAGATGCTTCTTTAGCTGCCTGAAGTAGTCTAGTTCTGATTCATCATCCATTTCTTGCTCAGGAGGTGCCCCAAACACCAAGTCCACTAATGTACAGAGCTCCCTCCCAAACATAACTGCTGTTGAAGTGCACTGACTTTTGTTCTGCTGTCCTGTGTGTCCACAAGACCAGGGCCAGATGCTGATTCCAGTCCCTCTGAAGTCAGCTGGTCAAGATGGCAAGTTGGGTGGCAAAAGTGTGGTTAAACGGCTTAACCAGTCCAGACCCCTGGTAACTGTGAAGTTTATTGGCACCCTAAACCGAGCTAACATTTCGTCCACCAGACACTGTGCAGATGTGGAAATGCTTTGGTTTAGCAAAGCATATTCCTCTGGCCCCTTTGTAAAACAATCCATGGCAATCAGATAAAAAAAGTTGCTTTGTGATGGGAAAGGGACCAAGGTGTCCACCCCAATCCTCTCCATTCGTGCCCCAACAAAGTCATGCTGCAACGGTGCTTGAGAGCATTGCAGTGTACGTGTGGCTCTATATACTGGCAGCACCCCAGCCAATAAACCCGCTGCCACAACCCGTGCACAGTCCTGGAGTTCCCAAAGTGGCTGGAACCCATTGCCCCATGCACCCATCAGAGCACTTCCCACTGAAAAGTGAAAGGAACAAGGAGTTGCAGGTGGTTGATTCCCCCTCCCGGGGCCTGCCACTGTCTGTAGATCACGCCATTGTGGAGTTCCAGGCTGCCCCTCTGAGAGTGTAGCATAGTGCCTCGATCTAAGGCCCCTTTGAAGAGACAGCTGGTCAGTCTGGACGTACTCGAGCTTCCAACCAATGCTTCACCACACTCGATCAGTGGCCTGCTGCAGCTGCTCAACTATAAACAGCTCTCCATCTCTGCCACTGTCACTCAGCCCTGCTGCTGTCAGAGTTCCCAGATCTCTTTCTTCTTGCCGTCCACAGTATCTGCACTCATCAGTGAGGCATAGATATCTGGAGAGAGCATCAACATTAATGTGCTGACTTCCTGGTCTGTGTTGAATACTCCATACTCTTGCAGTATTTCCAACCACCTTGCCAACAGCCTTTCTGGCTGGCAAAAATTTAGCATCCAGGTGAGGCTAACATGGTCAATTCTAAGTGTGAAATTAGTACCAATTAAATAGGGCCTGGAGTGATGGACAGCCAGGACCACCCCTATCAACTCCCTTCGAGTGACACAGTAGTTCCTCTCTGGATGGAAGCTGAGGCTTCAACTGTAATAGGCTACCACTTGCTCTCCTGTCTCTCCTCCCTGAGAAAGTATACGTTTGCAGTATCCACCAGGAAGGGCTAGCTGAAGTCAGGGAGGACAGGAGCATAAGTGAGGGCAGCATTTAGCTGTCCACAGTACAGTCCTTAGACCAGCTGAAGTGTCTGCCTTTATCTATCAGCAGATGCAAACAGAATTTCTGTCACAGGAGGCCAGGCCCAGGAAGCTCCTAAGCTTAGTGAAGTTTTTTGGTGGGGGCCAGTTCTTCACCACAGCCACCTTTTCTGGATCAGTTGCAATTCTGCTCCCACTGACTTGTAGTAGTAGGCCTCTGTCAGTCAGTGTTGACCATGGATGACGTATCCTAATTCTTATCTTGAGACATGTGCGATTGTCTGAGACAGCGTCATTGGTGGCTGAAGAGGCCAATACGAAAGAGGCATTCTTTGCCACAGAAGTTGCATTGATCGGTGGCTCCCATTGTTACTCACTTTTTGACGAACTCGCTTGTCCTCTGACGCACACATCATGTTTTTTTTACCTGACTTGAGCTGTTTGGTCAGGGTGCACCTCCACTTCAGGCGGTCTGCTGCAAGGTCTTTCCAGGATTGTGTGTTTAAATCGAGTTCTTCCCCACAGCCATGTTTTCTGGGTCAGTAGCAAGTCTGCTCTCACTGACTACATGTCTCAGAATGTGCATCTGACAGGTGAGCAGGTTGCACTTGTCTGGGTTCAACCACAGTCCAGCACTGTGGATGGCTGTCAGTACCACTTTAAGTTGAGGATAGCCTGGTCAAAGTCTCTTGCATGAACTAACAAATTGTCAAATAAACACACAGTGGGTGCGGGGAATATCTATAAGGATTTGCTCCATGAGTCTTTCAAGGGACCTGGGGCATTACACAAACCAAAGGGCATCACCCTAAACTGACACATTCCTTAGCCTATAGTTAATGTGGTCTTAGGCCAGGCCTCTGGCTCTAACTCTACTTGCCAACACCATATGCCGATTATAGGCACAGAACACACTTAAATGCTCTCCACTCCACCTTCCCAGGTTCTCAACAGCAACAGTCTCAGATTAGGGTGAGGCAGATGGAACTTGCAAGGATAATGGCTGGGGTATGCAGGCCCGCAGTGCCCTACAATGGGGTAGTCTATATGAAGGGGTGCCAAGGGCCGGGATGAGTATTCCGTCACTGTCTCACCCGAGGGGTGTTACCCTGAGGCGATCTTGCCCATTGCCAGGGACTTGGGGCTGGGCAGTCTCTGGCAAGGTGGTTCCCCTGTCCTCATGTTTTTAAATAATAAAACACATAAATCAACTCTAAACAATTCCCATAATGCACCTGGGTATGGTGCTGTGGGCAAGGCCATTCAATAAGATTAGAAAAGCATTTGTATTATTTTTCTCTAAATCATCTGTTTGTTCCCACAGTGAGAATCATTAGCATCATTTCCACTCCTGAACCAAAGGCTCAAAAGGAATTCCTGTTTAAGTGTAAGTCACTCTGTTCATACTGAAAATTAAAGATTCTAATTATAAATTCTTACTATATATCATTAATCAGAATAAACTGTGCTGAGCAGCTCAAAACAACCCCGATTTAAATAAAACACATTGATTTATATGCAAGTTATTTGATAACTCAATGTAAATAACAAAGTGAAGTGTTATTTAGTCTGAGCACTGCCACAGACCTTTGGCTAAACATCTGACGCATACAGCACATATTTCTGGAAACACTTCAGCAGATCCTCGGTCATCCTCTGATTAGTTTTAATATACAGGATTTCTGCAAAGTGTCTAGTGTGCAGACATCCTAATCAGCCCGCCGAAGAATGAGTCTGAGCTGATTAAAAAGCTGCAATGTTTATATTGATGACAGTGCACATTAATAAACGTTAACTTTCTGAGACAGTCATGAATCAGTGATTTACTGCCTGCACACTCACCTGTTATTGTGAGGATCACTGTGTGACGATGAGCATTTATCAATTTATTAAAGACTTAAAAGCTCATTATTGTGACCAAACAAGTGTGCCTGGTCAAAATAAACAGTAACAAAACTGTGACCTCTGTGTGATTTTACACCCCCAGGAACACCCACACATTAATTACCCCTAATGTTATATTTTGTTTGTTTCTGGATTTTGTTAGCGTGTGTTATTTTGACTTTGGCGAACCTCTACCTGTTGGTCTGCTTCTGCTTTCAGTCGTTCTCATCGGAGATTCGGGTGTTGGGAAGAGTAACCTGCTGTCGAGATTCACACAAAATGAGTTTAATCTGGAGACCAAAAGCACGATAGGAGTGGATTTCGTCACCAAGAGAATTCAGGTGGATGGAAAGACCATAAAAGCACAGATCTGGGATACGGCAGGACAGGAGCGCTTCAGAGCCATCACCTCTGCGTGAGTATAGGCAGAGTGTTTTGTGGCTAATTCGTACAATTTCATTAATTCGAGTTCAGTCATATGAAAATGTACAACTTAAAAAAAGGGGGCGTGGCACCAAACCCCACCCCTAAACCCAGTCGTCATTGGGGGATAAGCAAGTCATACTAAAACATACTAATAAGATCACACATATTCATCCGAATTAGCCGCTATAGCGAAATGTTACTAATTGCTGTGAGATCATCACACATCTGGATGATTGGGGTTTAGTGTTTAGTTTAGTACAACGGCTTCTTAAAATCCTTTAATTTAAAAGAAAGTACAATTGAATGCTGTAATGTGGACGTTTTTGACTGTGTTTGCAGATATTACCGTGGTGTGGCCGGTGCGCTGCTGGTGTATGACATCACCAAACACCTGACCTATAAAAATGTGGAGCGCTGGCTGAAAGAGCTGCGAAAACATGCCGACAACAACATCTTCATCATGCTGGTGGGCAATAAGAGCGACCTGCAGCACCTGAGGGCCGTGCCCACTGATAAGGCCCGCGCTTTCGCAGGTACAGCACTCCACAGACAGCCTGATGCTGCGTTCACACCAGACGCGGAACGCGCGGATAAATCGCGATATTCGCGCGTAAATAACCGCGTGAACATTTGAGTTTACTCGCTTCATTCGCGCATCAAATTTACCTCAGAACAGACGCGGATTCGCGTGATGGGCAGGGCTTCTATCTGTCCGGTGACTCTAGCTTTATAGCTAAATGGCTAACATGGATTTTATTGAGAAAATAACTGTTTATGTGCATTATGAAAGCTGAAAAACAGCATTGATACGTTTAGTCTGAGTCCACTAGATCCTTTCAGAGGTGCATCCAGCTCTGTGAGCTTATAAACTCCTCCAGAAACTGAACCTGAATGATAGAGGATTTCAGCGGTGCTTCTGACTGAGCTGAGCATAGTTTGATGAACAGGCAATACGTCACAATTACGCCCCCACAAGAGCGAGCTCCTGATTGGTTAACGCGGCGCGAATGTCCGCTGGAGTTCAGATTTTCGAACTCGAGTGATTCGCGTCAAACGCAAAACGCTCAATTTGTGCCACGCTATTCATGCGTATCGCGCCGCAGGATGTCTATTCGCGCGTTTGCATTGACTTAACATGTAAATCACTCGCGCTTGACGCGCGTTCCGAGTCTGGTGTAAACGCAGTATTAGACTGGAGGATGAGCACAGATGGAAAAATCATGACCCATATGAAAAATTCTATAGTAATATAAAGCAAATACTGTTGTGTTTTTGAATTAATCTGTTAGGCAGGATTTACATTACATTCATAGATATATACATTAGATAATGCATACTGGCCCTGAGCATGTGTCAATACCGCCGCCATATTGGTGCAGTGCTACCAGGACAAAAGTCATTCAACCACACTTAGGCAAGACTGAAGCCTGGTTTATACTTCTGCGTCAAGTGATCGGTGTGACCCATGGCGCATGCAGCGTGCGTAGCTGTGCATTTATACTTCTGCGCACTGTTTCTGTTGTTCTGCAATAACACTTCTGAAACGCTAGTTGGCAGTGAGGTGTTTATGTTCCTCTGTGTCGAGTTTCTTCACTGGTGTTTTGTTTTTTCTGAACGCTTCCTGAATGTAGAAGTGACTCAAACTCACTCATTTTGAGGCAGGAACCGGCGGACGTTCAACAACTTCAACCATGAGGTAAACACAAAACAAAACTTTCCGTCTAGAGCTTCTTCACGGGACTCCACACTTGTAAACAATCGCTCCATCGGGCTCTCGCTGCTCTCGGTCCCGCCCACACTCATCAGCGATATCAAGCCGACCAATCACAGAGCTTGCGATATGCGTCGTTGCGACGTGTAGTTACATTTTTTGAGAGGTGCGCGTCAGCTATGCCCACTGCATAGGGCGATGCGTCAACATGTAGACTGCGCCATAGCATACGCGTGCTATTGACACAGAAGTATAAGTCAGCCTTAAAGCCAATGTGAAGTTGCTGGACTTTAGCGCTGTGTACGGGTGTAGTAACGACCAAACTAAGAAAACAAAGCACAACGGCAGAACATTTCACAGGTAAAATTTCATTTTTTATGATTTAGTATGTTATGAAATTGTATGCTCAACAAGTAACGCTATTGATGATAATACAGTCACCTACTGCACTGATCATAAGGCAAATTAGCACCAACTTGCACCAAATACTCGGCTTATGCTAGTTTGGCTGAAGAAAACCAGCAAAAATGTAAATGTAATATTACAACAAGATGCTGCGGTGCTAGAAACTTGTATTATTGTTGGTTAAGTGAAGTAACGGCTAGTTTTTGAAGTAATTTATAAGGTGTCTGAAAACATAACATTGCCTGCGCCTTAATGTGCATACTGTCCACCCTAAATTATTGAATAGTGCAAATGTTACATACTAGGGATGGGAAGATTAACCGATATGTATCGATAAGCGGTCATGCGCGTGCACGATGCGAGTGCATCGGTAGAGCAGCAGAGGATGAATGAAATTTTGGAAGCAAATTGAGATGCATCGGTTTTTGCGAGATACAACTTATATTTTTAATATAGAATGTATTTTTTATTTATTAACAAGTGTTGTCAACCTGTTTTTGGCGCATAATTTAATCGACCTACATAAAGTATGCATTAGCAATGGGCTTGCGGATGTGTACACTTACACTACAACTCAGTGTATCAGGTGTGCGGATGAAGCTAGTGGTGCGCCCTCAGAAAGCGCGAGAAGCAAAACAAACATTTTATTCCTCACTGAGTTTTAAATCTAAAGTATGGCAACATTATGGATTCTGCAAAAAGGATGGACGACTTGACAGGACAGATGCAATTTGCAAAATGTGCCGCGCATCTGTAAAATACACGGGCAGTACGACTAATCTGAAATCTCACTTGAAGCGGCGCCTCGGTGTTGTTGTGGAAGCATCTTCCAGTGTTCCTGCATCCCCGGCTTCCTGCTCTGCTTCAACTGTAGCTACCAGCTCCAAAAGTGGTGAGAAAAGCATTGCAAGTTTTCTCCATGCGCAACAGTTCTGCTCGCTCTACGCCAATAACGAATGCTATTGCATTGTTCATCTGCAAAGATATTCAGGGTAATGTCACGGAGAACGAAGGTTTTAAACACCTCCTCCTGTTAATTTTTATTTATTTCTATTTTTATTAGCCTGTTGTTTACAGTGACAGTGATGTTTCAAAGCAGCATAACACTGCTAGTTCACCACCTTAAGTTTTAAATATTCAGTGGCACAATATATCTTTGTAAAACTTGTTTTCATAGTTGAAAAGTTTAATCACAATTCTTGTTGTGCAATGCTAAACCTTTATGTTGAAAGAGTGCAAATATATACATTTATAATATATATTGCACTTATACATTCTGTTTATCTTGAAAATGCTTAAATAATATGTGCTATAGGTTCTAAAATGGCCCTCTACTGTAAACTGACACTCTGGCTCTGAGAGAAAAGCCAGTTTGTAAAAAAAGTCTTGGTTTTGCTTGGTTAATAAATAATCAAACTCATTCAATGGCACAGCATCCTCTTTCACATCATCTCATAAACTTGATCTAATAAGTTAGTGCTGAATTATCGCATTGTATCGTGATATGGGTGTGAATCGTATCGTGTTGCATCGCAGTGTCACAAATGTATTGCTAATATAGCGGATCGGCATTATAGCTTAGATGCCCAACCCTATTACATACCATTTAGATAAAAAAGGTGTATGTGCACATTGAGACGCAGGGATATCGAGGGCTCACATGAATCATTCATAACAGAGCTTCATACACAAACGAATCACTCCCTCCATAACTTAGAAGTGAGGGGGGAATTCAGCACATATGGATTAAACCAAATTTACCAGGGAGGGAGGATAATACATTTGCATGCACACAAACACACGCTCTTTTTATCAATATGGAAAAGTGATGTAAAACTATGATTTTCGTAATTAAAAAACATATATATTTGCATACTGACCAGCGGGAAAACTCCTGATAACATATGTATATATGTGTGTATATCTCTGGCTCCGGCAAGGTTATAATAGTTTTGGATTTTTCATTAGTTTTAGTTTTTATTTCGTTTTGACTTTTTGTTTTCAAATTCAGTTAGTTTTTAATTAGTTTTTAGAGGGAGATTTACTAGTGTTTACTAGTTTCTATATTTTAAAATGTCTTAGTTTTAGTTTAGTTTTTATTAGTTTTATTTATTTATTTTTTCTAAATGAGGATATTTGTTAGGTGCAAGATTCAAAATCAGTAGAATAAACATTGTATAATAAAAACTCAGCCATACATTTTTTTTGTGAAACCTGGGCTGTTTCTCAATTCCAAGAACGCAGAGAACGGACTTGCATTCTTGTGGAGACCGGTCTTGCCAGGTGTCCTCGGAAGAACGAACTCAGGAGACCGCGAGGGCAGAGAACCCGTCCTTTGAGAAATGGGATGCTGCGTTCTTCCTGATGGTCATGTGACCTTCACGAGTTTTAAATGGTAATTATTTAAACATGACAGCACTCATACAACGATTTATTGTTTCCCCCCTCTTCAAAATATATACTTTGCATAAAACATTATGAATATACTCTGCACAATATAAATAAAACTAATTTTAATACGATTTTCAACAAACAAACAACCCTTAATGTGTTTATTACTTTAAGATGTTCATGTTAATGTTTACTTTCACCGTTTCATTTAGGGAAACTCCTGAGGTAAATAAGTGATATCTCTGAACTTTAATAATAAATCTAAATAAAATGCTGCGCTTCCTACGTCCAGTCGCAATGACTTCTGGGACTTCTAGAGCGAGTTCGGTGCTCAAGTCTGCATCAGTGCGTCCTCGATATCAAGATCACATCCGGGAAGTTTTACGTGTCCTCCGTACTTGCGGTCTTGAGTATTGAAACTGAACTTAGGCAGCTGATGATGACGTTGCACGAGGACGCAAGACCGCTGAAGAACGCATATTGAAAAACAGCCCCGTATTCAGAGGACACATGAACACTATCATCTACCACAACCATCTACCCATCCTTAAATTCTAATACAACAGCCCACAAGATAGCTGCTTTAAGTACAATATGTGTGCAAGGCTGCTCTGAGGTTAGATGCACAGTAGTGATGGGAAGTTCAGATCTTTAATGCGGATGTTTGGACTCAACATTATGTAGTCAGCAATAGTCATTTCAGTCAGTTAAAACATCACCATGATCTGAAAAATGTCTTAATGTAAAGTTTTGTAACCCACTGAATCATGATTCACTTATTTAAACTCCATTACGATAGTGTTATGAAATAAACTTACGTTTTTCACCAGATGCTCTCATTTAAGCGCTCGGTTTACCCGCAGTGCTGTTGTTTAAGTTTAGTGCAGTCACAGCAGGCTGTATTGTTTGTGTTCGGTTCACTGAATCACACATGTGCAGTATAATAGGTTCACCGCTTCTCAATTTGATCTCAGTGTAATGTCACTGTTCTAATAACTGAATGAGAGTATATATAAGATTATTTAGAGTCAGAGGGGGTATTAGGCTTGTTAAAAAGTAAGTAGTTTGTGGATAAGTGCTTACTGGAGACGCGAATTATTCAAAATGATTCAGTTCGTTTTGGTGAACTAGTTCAACCGGTTCACTTAGAACAGGGGTGTCCAAACTTTTTGGGCCGAGGGCCAGATGCAAAAAAAAAAAAAAAAAGTTGTCCCGGGGCATATATTACATGCATTACACAGACACGCGTGTACTTTTTGATCTCGTTCGGCACCAGTGTAAAAGCTGAAGGCCTGATGTTTTATTTTATAATGTCTTTTGATATTATATTCCTTCATTACTGCAACTGATTCGTGGCAAATTAAACAGACACATATTCCACTGACCTCTGTGAAGAAATATTCTTTGCCCCATCGTGACTGAAATTTCCTGCACTGTTGATTTTCCTTTTTCTTGCTTGTGCCATGGCTCGCCAAAACGTGATTATGAATTATGTTTCTTTCAGTTTGTTCAGTTCGATTAACTTCATAACAGGAACTGCTGCCTAATTGAAGGCATGTAATAGCGACACCCGGTGGTTATTTATTGAATCGCTCATTTTTGTGTAGCGGGCCAGATTCTATTAATATTCATAAAAAGCCTCGCGGGCCGCCACAAAACTGATCTACGGCCCGCGGGCCGTAGTTTGGACACCTCTGACTTAGAAAATCCGGTTAAAAAGATGAATTCGTGATCGTAACAGTTTGAAGTGCCTGTAATGCTGTCACCATGCTGCTGTCATGTCCACTCGTTGTTTTTGTCGCGGGAGCAACAGCGAGGATGACTGGAGGAGAACCCGCTTGATCTGGCCAATGGCAGCTGGATTACAGACTCTGAGGTGCCGTACGGGTCAATCACCTGCAGTGCGGATTATATTTACTTCTAAAAGTATTACAGTAAGATTATGCATGAAATACATTCACAAATACGAAAACTAATGAGGTTTTTGCTATCATTTTAGTTAGTTTTTTTATATGTACACAATACAGTTTCAGTTAGTTCTAGTTTTTTTTTAAACTCTCGTTTTTATTTCATTTAACGACAAATATTTTACATTTTAGTTCTCGTTTTTTTTTATTCGTTTTTGTTAACTATAATAACCTCGGGCTCCAGATGGCCAGTCCGCCACTGCACCTTGGTCCCACATTCATTTCAAAGGCGCGCTACCCTGTACCAAAATGGCGCCTCTATTCACGTATAGCGTAGGCGACATCTAATGTAAATATCTATACACTACATTAAGGCAAACATGTCTTGATACCCAGAGTTCCCTTTAAGAGCTGATGATATTAAACATGTTCTGCTTGCTTACAGAGAAGAATAACCTGTCATTTATCGAGACGTCAGCTCTGGACTCAACTAATGTTGAAGAGGCCTTCAAAAACATCCTAACAGGTACAAACACACATGACAAACACACATACAGCAGCAATAAAGCAACTAGCATGATTAACATGACAGATAGACTTAAAGCCAAAATTATTATAGTTAGGAAAGAAAGTAAAAGGAAATAAAATATTTCTTAAGGGGGCTAATAATTTTGACCTTAAAATTATTTTAAATCTAAAAGAAATCAGCAAAAATGTCAACAATTCTGTGCTTTTCCGTCAATATGGGGTGCTGTGTGTACATTAATGAGGAACTTGATTTTAGCAAATGGCTGCAATATAACAAAGAGCGAAATTTAAGGGGGTCTGAACTAGGGATGCACGATATATCCGCGCCCATATCGATATCGGCCGATAAATGCTATTTTTAAGATTATCGTTATCGATCCGATGTCATAATTAGGTCGATATATTTAAGCCGATAAATTACATAATTGTGCAGACCTGCCTGCCTCACGCTCGCGTGGGCGGAACTTGTTCAGACTTGTCCAGTGCACTATAATGGATCTCTCCTCACACTGATTATTCCCTCAAAGTCCGTCCTTTCTTCGCGTGTCTTGCTGTACGTTAATAAGTCAGTAAGTAACCACGTTCCTTGTCATTGTAGATATTTTTGATTGAGTGTCATTGTGTATTTTGCTTTAAATCGCCTCAGGAAATATATTACATAAGTAAACCTTTCCTGCTCTGTCTCTTTGTTGTGTAGAGATAGCAGGGGAGATTCACTTATTTCGGCCGAATAATGTTAGTTTCGGGGTGAACTCTTTTAGTTGCAGCTGGTGAATGAAAGAGGACACGTGTAACTTGGTCCAAAATATTTATTACTTTCCGTGAGTTACAACAAGTAAGTCACCAAAGAGGGAACATCACAGAAAATGGTCTCATTGCGAAAAAACCGCTCCTCTTTTCTCTCTCCCTCTCCCTCCGCTTCACACACACACCCCGAACTGCAGCCCAGTCCCGTTGAAGGACCCGCACATTTTACAACAAGTGTAAACATAACGGTTATTTGTAATCTTATTATTTGTTATTATTAATGCGTTGCTTGTCATGTGTTGTTGATGTAAGATAGTATTCAGCTTGATCGGAATATTCATATTGACTATAACAAGCTCACGTGAGAGCTGTCACCGCGCGCGCACACACACACACACACACACACACACACACACACACACACACACACACACACACACACACACACACACACACACACACACACACACACACTGTAGCACGGGAGAGAGGTGAATGCAGTCTAAGGGGTTCTTAACTAGCCGCTCATTCTGTCTTTATATTCAGCTCTGTGTTTGCCATAAAGTCAGCTCAATGCAGGTTTTGTATCAAAATCTGACTCTGATGGCAACTCTGCCTCTACAGTTGAGTGAAACTCTCAGCGGTTTATCATAAACTTTTCATCGATCATTTTCCCCGCAATTGACGGCAAGAACGAGCGCAGAAGCGCTGTCTGATTGACAAGCAGCAGCTACATGTGACATGTTAAAACGCCAAATAGGATAAATCTGTGCCGCATATTCTAACAGTACGAAAACGTATTATCTGTATTTAGCTGTTGGCTTGTACGGTGGCTCTAAACTGTCAAAACACCTCTAAAAAGACTTTTTCGGACATGACATATTTGTACATGTGTACATCACTGTAACACATTTTATTCATGACCATTTGAGCTGGTTTCAGTCCTTAGCTCTTTAATTTTTATCCTATTTAAATATATTTAACTTGCATGTTAATTAAATATAATTTTGTTATTTAAACTATTATTTTTATGCAATCAACTTGCATGTTCATGTGCTATAAAGAAAAGGAAATAATTTTTTGCATGCAGATTTATGTGAAATCGTGAATATAGGTCTATAATCACCTTGCAATTTCGAAATCATAGCTTTTTTGCTTTGAGTATAGACTATTCAGCTCATAAGAGCAGTTCAATCTTTTATGAAGTTTGCTGTATAAAAATATAACAATTTAAATATTTATAATTATCGGCCTATACATATCGGCTATCGGCCTCCAAGTCTGAAGAATTATCGGTTATCGGTATCGGCCAAAAAACTCCATATCGGTTCATCCCTAGTCTGAACACTTTCTGCTGTATATAGTCATACTGCACAGCCCTAAGCTCAGCCAATCAGATTTAGAATGAATGTCTGTGATGTTATGTTGATTGCTAACTCCTCCTAAACAGCATTAATCTGCCTCTCTCTCTCTCTGTTTGTACAGAAATCTACCGTAACGTATCAAAGAAGCAAGTCGGCTCATGACAGGTCTCTCAGGAAATAATGTTGTGGACATCAGTGTCAAGCCCACCACAGACGGACAGAAGAGCAACAAACAGGAAATAATAGAAAAGTTCTGCTCATTCACTTACAAAATATTCAAAAACGACCATTTAAAAGTCCGGGGTCGTCATGATTTCTGTTTTTAAATTAATCAATATTTTAAATAATAAATAAAGCTTTAAAATTGATCAACTTTAATGGAAAAAAAAACCCTAGGAAACCCACTTCATCAGGGGGGCCCGTCAGCGATCCCTGCAGGGGGGCCCCGCATTTTGCGCTACGCCACTCGCACTTGGATTCACCTGAACTTTATTTACGCGTGACAGTCTGACTCCATCATGAGCTTGGAGGACTGCATCCATACATCTCTGACATGACTCCTTCATCTTACCCCAGACATGCTCAATAATGTTCATGTCTGGTGACTGGGCTGGCCAATCCTGGAGCAGCTTGACCTTCTTTGCTTTCAGGAGGTTTGATGTGGAGGCTAAAGTATGAGAAGGAGCGCTATCCTGCTGGAGAATTGTCCCTCTCCTGTGGTTTGTAATGTAATGGGCAGCACAAATGTCTTGATACCTCAGGCTGTTGATGTTGATCATCCACTCTGCAGATCTCTCCATACTGCATGTAACCCCAAACCATGATTATTCCTTCACCAAACTTGACTGATTTCTGTCAGACTCTTGGCTTCATGTGGGTTCCAGTAGGTCTTCTGCAGTATTTGTGATTGGGATGCAGATCAACAGATGGTTCAAGGGTAACATCGACCTTCTGCCACTTTTCCAAATGATTAACTAGAAGTCGAGTTATTATTTGTAGCTCTTACAACTGGGATCGACAATGAGACTTTTGTCAGGCGTATTTTTTATTATTACTTTATATAGATAGAATGAATAATATATCAAAATCTGTAAAGTCACGTCTGCAGAAACACAAGCTGAGGTAAATGAGTGACTATATTTGTGTCCTGCAGTTTTTGCATTTGATTTGTTTTTACTAAACCTGGTTATCGTGGTGAGCAGAAACACCTTCCCATCCACACACACTGAACAACACACATCATAAACCTCATTTCAACGCAACAGATGCACACAAAGAGCAGAAAGAAGAGTGAGTCTGTTTCCACATCAGCTTTATTTGTGTTGTAGATTTACATCATCATCATTACAGCTACAGATCTGTACAGACACACACTGATCAACACAACACATGCAGCGACGATACAGCAGAAAACATCCACACACACACACACACACACACACACTGACTGATGCTCATAACAATGCAAGACTCTCCAGATAAGGCCATGTCATTCCTCAAAACCCCAAACACACGTTTAGAGCTGGAGAAACACGAGGCTTTAATCTGTCGACGCATTTCTGATAAAAAAAAAACCCTCAATCACATTTACATTAATGCACATTACACACACTTCTTTGAATATTTCTAAATAAATATATTACTTTCCACTGTATTCACTATTGTTTTTCTCCTGGAGAAAGTCTTTACGTTTGGCTGGTATAAAAAAATAAATAATAATAAACCATATTCTGCCTAGTAACCCAAATAAAGCCTTTAAATTGCACTTTAAACAAATAAACATTAAATATTATGTGCTGTCCTCATGACAAAGACAAAGAAAACACTAGTTATTACAACTAATATGTTTGAACGTGTGTTTTCTGTTGGGAAATGTTTTAAAATGAATAAAACATTGACAGGAGGGTGAATAATTTAGTCTTTATAATAGGCTAGTTAAAATAAATCCTTATAATTAAAGGTGGTAAACAAACACACCCATAACTTAAAGCCCCGCCCACTTTAAACCATCTCCACTATAGTTATGATACGCCCCTTAATGCTGATTGGCTGCAGGTGTTTTAAATCTTTTTAAAGCATTTTCAGATATTGTTTATTGCATTTTTGTGTATTACTGTGTGTTAAAATTGTATAACAATACACAATCGGTTTGATCATATAATGCATAAATGTTTTATTTATTGCACAATTTTAAAAATTGAATATGTGATTTTCTAAAAATCAATCAAGATGAATATTAAAGAGATGTACTTTCAGAAATATTGCATCAAAATCTCTAAATATTACATAAAAATGCACAAAAATGTGTGCTGTCAAAAGATTAACTGTGATTAATCGCATCCAAAATAAAAGCTCATATTTATATTATTTATATTATATTATATATATATATATATATATATATATATATATATATATATATATATATATATATATATATATATATATATATATATTTATATATATATCTGTGTTCTGAACATTATATATATTTATACGACAGCTCTCAAATCTGATTGGCTGATAGCCGTGCAATATACTGCAATAACAGCACTTGTACAGCCTCTTCAACCTTGTGTGTTACTCCGCCCACATAGAGTGACAGCAGATCAATAAACTCACTACAGTTTGACAAATATTGCAGCTGTTGGACAACATAATGTACCTTTGAAGCTTTTTTTAGGCGAGAATGTAGTTGTTTAGATTGTAATTATGCAGTTTATTTATGAGGATAGTGCCTATTTTAAATATTTATAATTTAGAAGGGACAGCGAATCGGCATCCATCAGCCAGTCAAACTGAGCAGAGCAAAGATGGTTGATGTTCTGTTGCAAGATGGTGACAGACACTGCATAATAAGCCCTTAGAGGAGAAAAAGTCAGCGTGATTTTAAATTACAGCTGAACAAATCATATTATATATATCTGGTAAGAGACCTTCAAAGTCGATCTCTCTCTCTTTAGTATGTTGTAGTGCTGTATTTATACCACAGTCTGGTAGTGTTTCTGATTGTGTTTGCTTTGCTTTGGCTTTTTTTGTGGTTAGTTATTGTGATCTCCCGATTGCAACAGAGACATACTGGGAAATCTCTGTAGACTGATGGCATTTCATGCCGTTCAGCTTAATGATCTTAAAATGTGAGCAAAATCAGCTGTTTTGTTGTCACTACAGACATTACACTAGAGAATCATTTAAACACTAGCTCTTAAGTGAAGTTGGTGAATTAGTAACAGCTTCTGCTGTTCTGACGTCAGCTGCAGATGTGAATGAACGGTGGAAGAAAGTAGTTCCTCTTACAAAAGGGTTTTTAGACTCTACGTGTTTGATTTTCTTTTTTATACACACGATTATGCCATCGAACTGTTGTTTTAACGCAATAACACATGAGTAGCAGTGCCATATGCCTGTATATCAGCACTGGTGAGACACTAAGGCAACGTACGCCTTCCACCATTGCTGATATACAGCCATATCGCACGGCTACAAGTGTGATATTGCTCATATATATATATATATATATATATATATATATATATATATATAATTATGTAAAAACAATCTTTTATTTTGCACGTAATTAATTGTTTGACAGGACTAATAAAAATGGATTTAAAATAATTCATTCACTGTTCTTCAGCTTAGTCTCTATTACAGAGGTCGCTGCAGAGGAATGGACCAGCATATGTTTTAAACAGCAGATGCTTTTCCAGCCGCAACACAGTAGTGGGAAACACCCATGGACACTCACATTCATACTCTACAGCCAATTTAGTTAATCAATTCAGGAGAAACCCTCACAAACATGGGGAGAACATGCAGACTACACACAGAAACGCCAACTGACCCAGCCGGGACTGGAACCAGCAACCTTCTTGCTGTGAGGCCACAGTGCTAACCACTGAGTCACCGTGATGCCCTAAAATAAATTACTTAATATTTTTATTCTGAGTAAAGTTTTACCCCATGCTCAATTTCATTAATGGTGCATTACTGTAAATGTGATTTTTGCTCTTATGACTGCTTATATATATATATATATATATATATATATATATATGCATTTAAACAATACAGTATATTTCTGTCATTTACAGATGCCATCTTTGCATTTTTTCCTATTGATTAAATACACGTGTATATAAAAATGTCTGTTCTGAACCGGATCAACTTAAAAAAAAAACAGACATAAAAATATAAAAAGATTTTCATAGACGTACATAAAATTGACAGATAAAAGATGACAATAAATAAAAGGTCATTTTAAAAAGCAAAACATTTCCATGGAATAAAATAAAGCTTGAAGTTGAACGTGTTTAAACACAAACTCAGACGATAAGCATGACAAAAGATGCATGATTTGATAATGTTGATTGACTATAAACACCCCCCCCCCCCCCCTTTATTTCATCACTTGCTCATCTGATAAATCTCAAACAAGCACTGCTTACGGTAATATTACAGTACCAAAAACACCCTTAAAATAAGATGCATTTATTTGAGGAGAACGTTCCGGATTAAAAGTGCTTATAAAACTATTTACAAAAATAATCAAATTAAAAAACGAAAGAAGATTGACTTTTTTAAAAACTATATACACTGTTTATTTAAATAAATAAATGAACGACACTAAAGTGCAAACAATATAGTTCTATACAGTATATCATTATTATACTAAGTGAAGGAGCATGTGATATGATTGATCGCGGCTGGTCTTTCATCTGCAATCATTAGTAAGCCAATCAGATTACTCCAAATAAATATCACTCCCTTTTCTTCATTTGTTGAAGAATCTCCCCCTTCCACCCCATCTCCACCTTTTCCTCCTTTACCAGCGAAAGCTCTTGAGAACTACCTGATCACAGACCCCCTTTACATGCTTATTGACCAGGTGGGAGCCCTGGGCTCAATTATCTCAGAGCTCAGGGTTCTCTCTCGGGACAGCATGCCAAACCTGCTATTTTTATCAAGCAATATCTAAGTGTGAACTCTTGAAATGATATAATAGTCATGTTTAATTAATTTTAAATAAACTATAAAACATGATATTAAAATGACAATGTATTACTTTCAAGTAATCTATATTTTGAAATAAGAAATTTTAATAATAATTAAAAAATAATAATAATAATAGTAATAGCTTAAAACAATTTAAATTCTTAAGTATAATTTTTTAATTAATATTATTTGTATTAATATTTTAAAACAAGAGTAAATTAATCGGTCAGGATATTAAGACCTCAAAAAGTAAAATTGAATAATATTGTTATTGAATAATATTACTACAACTACTACTATCATTCTAAAATAGAAGAACATCAGTAAAATAAAAATTTATATTAATAATAAAATTATACTAAAAAAAACTGCCAGTTTCTCGATTTTTTTTTTAATTTAACAGTTTATTTTCAGAAATAAAATAATTATTTTTGTTATTATTATTAAGATTACTATTATTATTATTATTATTATTATTAATAGCTTAAAAAAAGAGAAAATCAGTTGGTCAAGACATTAAGTCTTAAAAAAAAGTCTTAAATCTGTAGTAGTAAAAATTGAAATAAATATAATAATAATAATAATAATAATAATATTAGCTTAAAACTATTTAAATTCTTAAGTAATAATTTTTTATTCATATTATTTGTATTAATAGGTTAAATCAAAAGTAAATCAATCGGTCAGGATATTAAGACCTCAAAATGTCGAAAATCTCATTTCAATTCTTAAGTAAAATTGATTAATATTATTAATATTTTTATTGAATAATATTATTACTACTACTATCATTCTAAAATAGAAGAACATCAGTAAAATAATAATCAATATTAACAATAATATAATAATAAAAAATTAAAAACAGCCAGTTTCTCAACTTTTTTTATTTAACAGTTTCAATTTTCTGAAATAAAAATATTATTATTGTTATTATTATTATTAAGAATATTTTTATTATTATTAATAATAATAGCATAAAAAATGAGAAAATTAGTCGGTCAAGACATTAAGTCCTTAAAAAGTCTTAAACCTAATTTCAGTTCTGAAGTAAATATAATAATAATAATAATAATAATAATAGGAAAAAAATCTGTCAGCCAGGTTCTCAAATCTCTTACATTTAACAATTTCATTTTTGAAGCAAAAATATTATTATTATTATTATTATTATTTTAAAATAGGAGGAAATCAGTGTTAATCCAGCGTAGATTAAATTCTCAAAAATCCTCAAGTAAACGTGTCTTGCTTTAAGCATGTTCAGGCATTTCACAGGATCAAATCAATGTTTGTTTTCATGGATATGATGTAAAATAATAAATCAGTCCAGCAGTGATCTCTCCTGATGCGAAATAAAGCCCAAAGAGAAGAGAATGCAGAAGTGAAATAAGTTCAGACTTACATGATGATGATGATGATGATGATGATGATGTCTGTCTGCTATGCTTTCTGGACTGCACTAAATAAAGCGGATCATACAGTACACACACAGGAGGAGTTGTTAATGATAGTCGATAAGTTGTATAATGATCACGCTCCATATTGAAGAAACTCGCTTTCACATGATGATCGATTGCATGATTGTTCTGAAGGTCATAGTCTAGTTGCAATGCATTGTGGGTGGTCCACAGTGGTCAGTGGTGTATTGAGGGATGCTGAACTCTCTCTTTCTCACACACACGAACACACACAGTTTTTGAGAGAGAAATGCTCTGGAAAGTGGCACCGGGTAGAAAAGGAGTGCTGTTTCTTTTCTGGAAGCTTCTTCAGAATCAACACTTCACATCACGCCTGAGTGATCCTCCTCCAGTTTACTGTACAGAGAGACAGAGAAGATGAAGATAATTAAGATGATGAAGAAAACACACACTTCTGTTGTCAGCTTATGACACGCCAGGCTCATTGGAGATATACAGATAAGTCAAAATGATTCACCCTCCGATGAATTTTCTTTAATTTCCAAATATTTCCCAAATGATGTTGAAGAGATTCAGGAAATTTTCACAGTATTTCCTATAATATTTTTTCTTCTGGAGAAAGTCTTATTTGTTTTATTTCGACTAGAATAAAAGCCGTTTTATTTAAAAAAAAAAAACATTTTAAGGTCTCACAGGGCTCGAAATTAACCTTTTTTCTTGGTAGCACCGGTGTTCATAATTTCAAAAATGTAGGCGCACCTGACAAAATTTCGTCGCACCGTTACTACACGTTTTATATTAACAGATTCTATTATATATTAACACTCTAATCACAGCTAACAAATAAACACAAATCTGCATGCGCTCACTGGCCCTGCACGCACTGCTTGACATGAATGAGATGAACTGAGTGAACAATAATCACTGTGCTGTTCTCACGGGTGCTGCCTAATATTGCACAGATGATATTGACATATAACTTATTATCTGCACACGTCATCTTAATAGCAGTAACAGTCTTTTCATGAGCTGCAATATTAGTTTAATCTCAGTGAATGGATGCTCTTTAGCGATGGTGAAGGGTGTATCAGTCACATGACAGCATCGTGATGACTAAATAAAGGATTAAATAACGTTAAAACATCCCGTGCTTAAAACAGATTCAATGACGAACACTGTTACCTGAAAACCCTGTCCCACCGGCTTTACGGTGAATGCTTTAGTTATTTTCATAGCGGACTTTAAACACAGGAAGTCTTTCATCCACTCTTTGAAATGTTTAAATGCTGGATTGACATTCACTACATGATCACTGATCAGATGTGCCATTATTTGTAACTTTACGTGGTTTCTAAAACTAAATCTGTCAGTGTTGTCTTCATTCTCTCGGATCCAGACCTTTACATTTCGCAGCTGTAGATCCCTGTCATCGGAACTGAGTGATTGACAGCTCATATTAACCAATCCATTCACGTTCTGTTCTAGTGCAGTGGGCCATTAAGAAGAGCCTGCAGGCGGGACAAGCATTATGGGCTTTGTTTACTGCAGCAAGTTGACATGTCAACATACTTGCCAACACTCCCGTTTTTCCAGAGAGTCTCCCATTTATCAGACCCATCTCCCGTTTTGTTATTTCTCCTGGAAAACTCCCGGAATTTCACCCCTTCCCCTGGTCCTCAGTTGTTTGGTACAATCTATAACACCCCCAGGTACCCCATCAGGTCGCTCCACCCCCAAATGTTGGCAGGTATGCATGTCAACTGTTTTAAACCTTTTCTGAGCGCTGCGTTTGGTGTTTTTAGGTGCAAAGGTGCTTAATGCGTGAGTGCCTCCTAAATTCGAGCATGTGGTGAACATTTTCCTGTGAAAACTGGTCGAACGACAACAATTTTATGCATTCACACAAATGCTCCCAAATATATTTTGAGGTCGCATAGAGAAAATTTCGGGCGCATATGCCAATTTCGAGCCCTGGTCAATAATATTAGCCCCCTTAAGCAATATTTGTTTTGGATTGTCTCGAGAACTAACCACTGTTATACAATGACTTCTCTAATTACCCTAACTTTACCCTGATTAACCTAGTTAAGACTTTAAATGTCACTTTAAGCTGAATACTAGTGTCTTGAAGAATATCTAGTCTAATATTATGTGCTGTTGTAACCCCACCGGTTATACACCCCCAAACCCGCTCCGAGCTGGTATCGAACCGGCGACCTTCTGCATGGGAGTCGATTGCTCTAACAAGGAGGCTAAAGACCATGGCCTATAACATCTGTCGCTAGAGCACCTTTAGAGGTCAGAGCAGTGAGGTTTACCTGCACAGCACCTACTAGCTGGCTTCCGTTACACTCACCCCCTAAATCTCACTTCCATCAGGGTCACGACACCAATGTAACCCGCCATATGTATATATATATGAGATATATGAGAAACGACAAATATGTACCCCTGGACTTCGTCTTCTTGCAATTTTTTTTTTTTTTTTTACAAATCCACTAGAGGGCGCTGTGTGCATTTTTGACAATCTCAAGTAGATCACAGAGGCATGTTTTCTCATACGTGCCATTTCTCGTGAATCCACTAGAGGTCACCATGGACATTTCTGGAAGCTTCAGAAATCGCTCAGCAGCTCCGCCTTGTAGCTTTCATTTTACACAAAAAGTGCAGCCATATGTACCCTGAGGCGCATATTTGTCGGTTCTCAGAAATGTAGCCCTGTGCACATTTATCCAATGAGCCTGTGTTGACAACTGAGCAGTGTAGGAAGAGCAGAAGCAGCTCACAACCTTTCATAATATCACTGATTAACTTACATTTCTAAGCTGAATCAAGTTAACCTTGGCATGAACATAAGCATTGCCATGGTTTCAAAAAAAAAAAAAAAAAAAAAAACAATGGCTTTGTAACTATTATTTAGGGCTATAATGCAAATCTAATAAGAAACACGTTTGGTAAACAAAGTCTCTTGTATGAAATATGTATATATGCATGTGAATATTCATATACACACTCACACACACATGCACATACACTCGCATGCATGCACAATCATGAACACACACACACACGGGCGCACACAAACACATCCACACGCACTCCCACACACACTCACACACGCATGCACAGACTCACACATTCGCACACACACATTTATCCATTCTGCAACTTAAAAATATTCAAACAGCATTATTTTATACTATTTGATGTTGTATTTTTCGGATTTATTACTTATGGATATGTAAACTAAATTAATTGTTATGTTTTATGATGCCATTCATAACAGAACTATATATGATATTCATTATGATCAATTCTTTTAATGAGTGTATGCACCTGTAATTCATATGATCTAATGGTTGTGCTGCTGCTTTTTCTATTTGACTGCATTGAAGTCGACACTCAAAGCTTTTACTTCAACTTTAGTGTTTTTTGTGTGCAAAAGAGAATATTAGGCCAAGCAAACAATGAACAGAAGCTTATTTCAGAAACAGTTAACCATCAAGACGCAATGTAACGCAAAAGACCTAATTTAATTTGTATACCGTACAGCACAGACTGCATTTTCAAGATCAAGCTTCCTCTAAAAGTTGTAATAACTCAAATGCTAACACACACTTACATCAGCATGCTCTTCCACACACACACACACACACACACACACACACACACACACACACACACACACACACACACACACACACACACACACACACACACACACACACACACACACATCTTTATAGGCTCTCCTCACAGCTGTACTGATGTTTCTACTGTACAGGCTGCACATTGCATATTCTTTCCCACTGCCCCCAAACTCAACCCTTACAGGAAACAATCTGCACATTTACATTTTCAAAGCACTTCATTCTGTCTGATTTAGGAGCTGCTTTTCTCATGGAGACAAAAAAAGTCAAAATTAACAGGTATTGCAATACTTGTGGGGACATTTTGTCCACACAATGGGAGGAATACAGGGTACAGACACACAAACCCACAGACAGACACTCCAATTTCAAGATTTCTTTGTATTTTGTTTTTCAAATTGAACAGATGAATGAGGAGATGCATTAAAGAATGAACAAGGTTTATTACTGTATTACTGTCCTATTTTAAAGGTGCAGTATGTAGAATTGAAAAGGCTTCAAAGCTGAAATCAAAAACACTGTTTGTTTTTACCAAGGCAGTAAACACAGTGTTGAAATATACAGTCGAAGTCAGAATTATTAGCCCTCATAATAGTTTCAATAACTCATCTCTAATAACTGATTTATTTTATCTTTGTCATGATGACAGTAAATAATATTTGACTAAATATTTTTCAAGACAATTCTATTCAGCTTAAAGTAACATTTAAAGGCTTAACTAGGTTACCTAGACAGGTTAAGGTAATTAGGCAGGTTATTGTATAACAGTGGTTTGTTCTGTAGACTATCGAAAAAATATATAGCTTAAAGGGGCTAATAATATTGACCTAAAATGATGTTTAAATAATTAAAAACTGCTTTTATTCTAGCCGAAATAAAACAAATAAGACTTTCTCCAGAAGAAAAAATATTGTCAGACATATTGTGAAAATTTCCTTGCTCTGTTAATCATCATTTGGGAAATATTTTAAAAAGACAAACAACTCAATGGGGGGCTAATAATTCTGACTTCAACTGTAATTGGGTAATGTGAAAGTAGGTGGAGTTACAGACTACATCTAAAACCGGATACATCCGTACTATACAGTACATTAAAAACAGTATTCTAGCCGAGCTGTATGTCCGAATTCATAGTATGCAAGAAGTACCTGGATGACCTACTACTTCTGGCGAGAGTTATTTTGAGGGCTACCTCACAAGCTCAGACCAATTAGAGGAAAATACTCTCGTCGTTTCAGCACCGCCTACATGTGTATAGTGAATTTTAATGTCGTTTCCTACCCAAAATTAAAAAAATGAAAAATCAAGCCAAAGCGGGTTTTTTCATTTTTTGTGAGCAAAAGAAAAAGGAAAAAAAAAAGCCGTTTTCTTAATTTTCTTTCTTTTTTGTTGTTGTTTGAAAATGGATATGGAATGGGCGGAAGATACTCTGATTTTTCTCCTTCAGTCATTTCATTCTTATTACAAGAAACTCATTTTTCCCTTTATTTTTATGTCTGTATTGTTTGGGTCAGAGATGCCCAAAGTAGGGCCCACGGGCCAAAGATTGGCCAATTGTAACCTTCGATTTGGCCCACCATCCCATTTGAGAGGAGAAGAGAGTATGATGGAGAGGGTTGGGATGAACGTCTTTAACACAGAGATTGACACTTATAATTTGACAAAACCTGTATTTATTTTTTTATTGCTGAGCTACAAAAAAAGCAAAGTGAAAAAAATAAAATGTTTCAAATAATTGTTGTAAATGAATCTGAGCTTTTAAAATGTAAATACTCGACAAATCACTTGACAGATAGAGGACTATGCAGAAGACATCAGCAAGCAAATCAAGGCAAAAACTACTGTAATTCTGCTATAAATGAGATTGTTTTGTTTTTATTGTAATAAGTTCTTTATTAAATCTAAAAAAACATGTACAGTTGAAAGCAGAAGTTTACACACACTGTATAAAAAGGCATATTGTCATTTTAAAAATGTCAGATGTTAATGTGACTCAACTATTTCTCTTTTAGGTAAGTCTGGATGATCACATTAGTTTCTGTCACGCTTAATAGCAGAATAATGAGAGATAGTTTTTGAGAAATTGTTATAACTCTTCTTGATAGTCAGGTTTACATACAATAAGATTATTCTGCCTCTGGAAAAGCTCAGATGATGGTGTCAAGGTTTTGGAAGTTTCTGATTGGCTAATTGACAACATTTGAGTTAACTGGAGGCACAACTGTAGAATAGTATTTAAGGAAATCCTCAAACACACACTGCTTCCTTGTGTGACAACATCAACAAGCCAGAATCAACAACAAAGCCTGATTACAATAAGCTAAATGACACTGGGAAAAGACTCATGTTTGGGTCCACTTCACAGCATAGATGGCATCATGAAGAAAGAACATTATGTAGAAATACTGAAGCAACATCTCAAGACATCAGCCAGGAAATTACAACTTGGCCACAAACAGGTCTTCCAAACAGACCATGACCCTAAGCATACTGCCAATTAGTTAACATGTGCTTTAAGGACAACAGAGGGAATGTTTTGGAGTGGCCATCACAAAGCCCTGATCTCAATCCTATAGAAAATGTGTGGGCAGAGGTGAAAAAGCTTGAGCCTACAAGACAGCCAACAAATCTGACTCAGTTACACCAATTCTGTCAGGAGGAATGGGCCAAAATTCCTGCAAACTATTGTGAGAAGCTTGTGGAAGGAGACCCAAAACATTTGACCAAAGTTATACAGTTTAAAAGCAAAGCTAGAAAATACCAAGGAAATGTGTGTAAACTTTTGACTGTCTAGAAATTAATAAAAAACTCATTTACTCTCATTATTCTGGCATTTAGCAAATGTAAATTATTTAGGTAATCCTGACGAAACTAAAATAGTAAACATTTAGTATGATTTACCATCGGACATTTAAAAAAAAAATGCTTATGTTCCTTTTTTTAGAGCGTATGTAAACTTCTGGTTTCAACTGTATTAGTTAATATACTGTAAAGCAATGTTTTCTAGTCATTTCTAAACATTATTAAATAAACTAGGAAATGACCCATGGCAACTATATTTACCTTCGGCCCACTAGCCTCAATCAAGTTTGGTTTTTGGCCCATCATAAGAAAAGATTTGGGCATCTCTGGTTTGGATTTGACCAAACTCTGGTTTAATTCCATGATAACAGCTGCTTTAGAGATATTATTTCCAGGGATCCGTTCTTTGTACCTCGTTTAAATGATCTAAGATGATTTGGCAGATCCTGGATCTTTTAAACTTGATAACTGATCTCTCACTATTTTGGTTCTTCAAACAAGTTCTCAAATCAGATTAAAATGTCTGGATCAACTGATCTGAGATCGCTGCGTGTGTTGTGAAGGACAGATCTATCGATCCTCGAAATCATGATCAGCAATGCAGCGATTGGCTGACGGCACAGCAGCGTAATGACATCATCTGATTAATATTCAATTATCCATGTGAGCAAAATTACATCAAATTAGCAGTAAACGGCTTGTTAAATATGACACGCAATAACCTTTCACATTTGTTGTGAGCTACAGGCTTTACACTTTCATGTGTCAAGAGTTTATATCATGTATTTCAGTGCATATCAGTGTATTTAGTTCTACATTTAGAAAAGATTTTCTTTATTATAGTAGCCAATCGGTTTTTAATCGGTGTAAAGAATAACAAAAGCATTTTGATATTGGTAAAGGGGTCTGCAACTTTTGTTCAAGTCACCTTCTTATTAACTGTCAAAACATGTTTATGACTGCATAAATGTATTATTGCTTTAAAAAAGTGCATTTCTACTTTACACAAATTGTTCTAAAGCGATCTAAAAAGTTCATATCAATAAGTTTTCTCTTTGTACTTTTAGTTTGTCTCTTAGTTTAGTCTTTGTACTTTCATTTCAGAGTGCAGATTGCAAGTTTTGTTAATATATATATATATATATATATATATATATATATATATATATATATATATATATATATATATATATATATATATATATAAAGTTAAAAATATTTACTATTTTCCCAAGTGTATATAACTACTACTGTAAGAAAATAGCAGCATTTGGTACATACTTTCAGTATTTTCTTTGCATGAACTGAGCCGATCTAATCCTGTTTATATAAATTGAGCCTGCTGCTGAGCAGGTTTGATCTACCAGAACTGTTGCTATAACAACAACTCTCGGATCAGCTTTGAAGAACGAAACGATCCTGGATCCAAATCCAGCTAACTGAGTAATCCACATAAGAAGAACGGACCCCAGGGAAAAACATGGCAATGTGTTCAATACTCATTTCCTTGCTGTGTCTGCAAACATACAGTGATATTTGTATGATTCAGAAGATTCATAAATTGTACATATACAGCACCTTTAATAGACTATATGCATGAAAGAATGAACAAACCAGGCTTTTTTTTAAATATTACTGTCATATTTGAAGTGAATGTGCAGATTTGTCTGTCTGGGGAAGAGCTTTAAACTCCACACTTACTGTGTCGCTTCCTCCATCAGACACAGACTGAGAGTCATAATGCAGAGGTGAATAAACCCAGCTCCTGTCCTCTGGAGGCTGCAGACGCACCAGCAGAGGGCGCCACACGCACACACACATTTACACATGCATGCACACACACAAACAACACAGACACGGAGCAGCGGAGATGCATGAAACAGAAACACACAAAGACAGAAAAAGACATGAGGAGACTGGAGAACACATTCAACATACTGTGGGAGAAATCAAAGCACAGAAACAGAAAAGCCTCAGAACAGAAACTCACACTGATTTTGGAGGCATGCAATAGCATTGCAGTGCACAGTGTGCATATTTTGGGTATGCATGCAATATTTGGATGACCACTAGAATGATTTTTACTGCACACACACGATTAGAAGTTCAACTTGATTAAAATTAAAAAAAATAATAATAATCTGAAAAAAAATTAGTTTGTGTGTTTTTTTGTTAAATATGTGACCCAATATGTGAGCACAAAACCAGTTTTAATTTGCTCAGGCAATAGCCAAAAATACATTAGTTTGCATCAAAATAATTAGATTATTAAGAAAAGATCATTATGATCCATAAAGATATTTTGTACATTTTCTATATTCAATTCTTTTATATATTTTCGATTAGTGATATGCATTGCTAAGGCCTTCATTTGCACAGCTTTAAAGGGGATTTTTTCAATATTCACATAATTTTTGTACCTTCAGATTGCAGATTTTCAATTAACCATGTCTTCAATCATTTATTCCTTTGCTTTTCATCTTAGTCCCTTTATAAATCAGGGGTCGCTATGCCCTTCAAGCTGCAACCCATCACTGGGAAATACCCATACACACTCATTTACACATACACTCTAGACAATTTAGCTAACCCAATTCACCTATAGCGCATGTGTTTGGACTAGGATTGGGCGATGACGACCAATTCGACATCATACGATGTCTAATGTGAAACATTGCAATGGACGATGGCATCAGTGATTTATTAATTTATAAATAATTAATTATTTCATAACAAATTCATTATTTGTAGCCTACTGTTTTAACTACCTGACTCGCATAGTCTTCGTTTCACCCATAACCAAATCATAAATAAATAAAGATAAGTTATACACAAAAGACCACCTGTCAATCACTTTTTCCGCAGGACTCTGGCATGAATGTTATAATGGCGTCGACAAACTTGGTTTGTAAAAAAGGAGCACAACCAACAGTGTCTGAGGTTTTCGCTAAAATTACTAAGTACAAGTGTGAAAGTGAAAGACTGAAGCAGTGTGCTGACACAGTGACACGTTACCTTATAGATTCAAAAGACCGAAGAGTCGTTATAAAGAGACAAGATTAGTTAAATATTACGTTTAACAACTATAGTGAGACGTCATCCAGCGGTTCATCCTTGATAAACTGTTGTATGTGCGCTGCTCTCTGGGGTTTTTTGCTCAAAGTACCTGCTGACTGCCTGGAGCTCAGGGGCCTCATGTACGAAGACTTGCGTGGAAATCCTACTAAAACATTTACAGCTTTGTGCGTACGTAGAAAAAATTCAGATGTATGAAACACTGCGTACCCCGAATCCCACACATATTCTTTTGTACATCCGAATGAACTTGAAACTGAGAGCAACATGCACGAGCACAAAACCCCTCCCTGCCTCCTCCCCCATATGAATATGCTAATGACTATGCTAATGGAAAAACCCAACGAAAAAGCAAAGGCAAAAGCAAGCAAAAACAGAAACTCTGAACAGAATGTGAATTGAAGGTGCTGCTTTCGGAGGTAGACCGGAGAAAAGCGGTGTTATTTGCAAGTTTGTCCTCCGGAATTAACAACAAAAGAAAAAAATAGAGTGGGAGAGTTTAGCTGATGCGATTAACACAGTTGGGTCTGAACATCGCACTGAGTGAATTAAAAGAGAAATAGTGTCATTTATATCTGTAAAATGTTGAAGTACCCTTAACAGTATCAGTGGCGCAGCTCGTAAAACACATGTCAACATGTTTTGACTTGTTTGAGCATGAACTCGGTTCGAATCCAGCGTCTGATGAACTCTTTCTTCTTTTTCCCTGCTACATATCAGATTTTGCCCACTATTTATCACGAGAAAGACAAGTAGGAATCATTAATAAGTTTGTGCATCATATTCTATTTGCACATTTATTGAATGGAAATGTTTCTGATTCACGCATGCAAATTCATCTTCAGATAGTGTCTTTATAGCAATGTGCGTGTGGTAGATCGCTCAGATTACATTGGGAAAACAGGCGACTGCTGCAAATTGTGCTTTAATGTTTAGCTGGTCAACTGTATGGTATTGAAATCTTATATACCTGCTAGATGAACCCGTCTCATACAGCTGCCATTGCAAGGCTCAGACACTTTGTAGAGAGGAATTTAACACAACTGCCTCTAGGAGTCGCCAATGGAAATAAAACAGACACGCACAAAAAATGTGCGTACGCCTGCCAGAAAGCTGCCGTGAACCTGCGCACATTCCCACGTTCAGTTCATCGTTAGTAAATCCAAACGTGAGCGATTCTGAGCGTGAAACCTGGCGTACGCAAAGTTTTTGTGCGTACGCAGCGTTGATACATGAGGCCCCAGATGTGCGCACATGCTTGCAGGGCATGACAGAGTGTGTGTGTGAGTGTATGTGTCTGGTCACATGATGTGTGTTTTCAGCGGTATAGTGTGGACGGAGATATTTTCAGAAATGCTATATGAAAAGCCAGTGTGGACGTAGATAAATAAATACTATAGAAGTCAATGGTTACAGGTTTCCAGCATTCTTCAAAATATCTGCTTTTGTGTTCAACACTTCAACACATTTCTTGTTTGAAACAAGTCAAGAAAGAGCAAATGATGACAGAATTTTCATCTTTGGATGAACTAAATATCCCTTTAAATAATATGTAGGTAATTTCGAACGAAATAAGGGTAAGTAACTGGAGTAAATGTAACTTTTTGGATGAACTATCACTTTAATAAAATAATAAATCATTTGCAAAAAGCTTTTTCTTTTTTGGCCAAGTGCATCCAGAATTTCCAATTTCAGCAGAGACTTTTTAATTTCAGTGCATCCCTAATACAAACACTACAATGATGAAAGTAACAGCATGCTACTAATCCAATGTGTAAAGCACTACCAGAAATCAGGAATTTGTGCATCAGGGGCTAAAGTCTACAGTGATCTACTGTATTTTAGCACAACAACACATAAAAGGTGATGCTAACAGAACCCTAAAATCACCTCTAATGCTAAAGTTTACAGCAAAGACTCCCAAACCAGGGTGTTGAGAAATTATTAATCTAAACCAATAGTCTTAAACTCAATTCCTGGAGGGCCGCAGCTCTACATCGTTTATCTCCAACCCACTCACACCTGCTTAATAGTCTCG